CGGAAGGGTCTAGGCCCGAAACGTCAGCCTTCCTGCTCCTATGATGCTGCTTGGCCAGCTGTGTTCATCCAGCTCTACACCTTGTTATCTCAGATTTTCCAGCATCTGCAGTTCCTACTATCTCTGATTACAATTTATAAGAGATAGCCCTCTTCAAAAAGAATTCTTACGTGGACATATTTTTGTTCAATAGGAGTTTCTGATGGATTATTAAAGGGACCCTGATTGACAGACTCCAGACGGAAATAATTACAGTGAATATTCTGTATTGTTTTCAAGTCTGGAATGGCAAAGAAAATCTAAATATACTTTAGTGTGAGGAATCGTGTGGAGTCTGACTTATTGAAGTCCTTTGCTTAAAACAGAATGAATGTCAACAGTGTAAGATTTGTTTAGAGTGTACGAGTGTGTTTTCTTGTATACGAGAAAACTGTGAAGTTTTGAAATGGTAGCATGGGGGAAACGGTGTCTGTACTGGCAGGAGAGTTGGTACCAATTGCCAATAAAGAAAAAGAAATGCTTTAGGGAATGTTCCAGGCAAGTTTGATCAGTGCTGCAACATCTGACCTTCACATAGAAGCTTATCCAGGAAAAAATCTTCTACCATAAGTCTGTCAAGCAGTAGTCTGCATGTAGCATGCTCGAAGTCCTACGGGTGCATCTTGTCAGATGTGCATCTTCCCATGAACATATTGTCAAAGTTATTTTACAGACTGTCTCCTCACTAGAACTTTCAAACAAACATCAAGGTATAGCTTGGCTTGTGAGGAAGAAGTCTTTCCCTGTCAGATTCTTCTTGCACAGTCAAAGTCTCACCACCTCTGCAGCCTGACCTTGTGAAGTTTTAGGTGGAAAGAGTTTGTTGCTCGTTTCCTTTTACAATCTACCTCTGTAAAGAAGGCTGTGAACTCAACGGAGATGCAGTAGTTTTTGTCAAAGCTCATCACAAGGAGTTCTGTGATAGCAGGAGTCTGCACTCTACTGGGTGTTCCTAGGAACAAAAACATTAACTTCTGCTAGAGGACCATTAACTCAGTGAAGGACATTATTTAATCTGCCCAAAAATTGTAGGTCTTCTAGGGCAAGTAATTGTCTGTGATCTGATGAAGTTTCATAATATGTTATTGTCTGAGAGCTTGGATTCTAAAGTGGAGAAATGATGTATGTTTTTAAGTTTAATTTGTATTTCCATATTGTGTTTATTAAGGAGGAAGACTTAATGTTTGACTTATTATGTTTTTGTGCCCAGATGTCTCAGGTTGGTTTTACATGCAATTTTAGTGATGGTTTATAGCCTTGGAATAGAACATGAAATTAACTGTTCAATGTATTAACAGGAGTTAGAGTACATTAGGCTGTTGCCAAGCAACAAGGCATCCAGTGACATGGGAGGCAGAGACAAAAATATCCAGAAATTCAGTGAGTTACTGTGTTTGTGTGGATACTAGAGATCAGAGGCTGAAGTGTTAAGCTAGTAAGAAGTCTGGTCAGTAAACTGCTGTAAGCTGAGTGTATGAAAAACTCGTGTTTACTCCGAAAGTGCTTCAAAGTCAGTTAGAAGAAAGTTCTAGAGACCAATTATAACTGTTCAGGCTGAGCAAGAAGCATTAGCAGGAGAGGGGAGTTGACTCTTCAGTGAAATTTGAATCTGTAAGGGTTGTTGTGGGATAAAAGGTTTACAATTATGATGATAATGTTTCAAGTAATTCTTGGATAGTGTAACATTGTCTGTGTTTCACTTTTGCACAATAATTTTGTTATAAACATTCAAACAGTGAATATTTCTGATCTCTACAGTAAACAAAAACAAGAAAAATAAATAGTAAACTTATGGTTTATCAAGGAAAGTCTCATTCTAGGATTTGACCTGTTTTCTTTTACTACTATTGGGGTCATAATAGTATCAAGTGTTATAGATGAGTCTATTAAGTTTCAGGACTACGTACATGCCACATTTTACAGAGGGTCTGGAAACTATAAACCCATCAGATAGCATCATTTCATGGAATATATGTTGCAAATATCGACCATAATTGCAATTGTACTGAGGCATCAGATTGCCACATTTCAGACAGCACTTTCATTAATGTTCAATTCTGCTGCATAGTTTTACAAATTATGAAGAAAATAATTTGCTTCTAGGAAGAAAACAAAGAAATATTTCATACAGCATGATGTTTTGACCTGGAATGTTTGATTGCACTGCCTGAGAAGGTGATGGAGGCAGATTCAGTTAAAACTGCATATACAGTTAAAAATGTGTGTAGGATAGTGGGGAAATAAAAAGCATGTAAGGGAGACTATTTGACAGCACATGGGCATGATGGGCTGAATGGCCTGCTTATGTGCTGCAGTCGTTCTTTGTGACAATGTATTATTCTTTGTAGGTCTTGGAGAATTTTTCATCAAATTAACCAGTTAGTTAACGGAATGTTGATTAGTGTGCTTACTGCACCCCAGCAATGGGCAGTAATCTCTTGTAATAAGAATGATTGATTTTTGCTCAAGGCAAGAACCTGTGCATGGAATATTTTTTAAAATGGTGTGAGGCTGTTACCACGCTGTTCTGACCAGAAAATGCCCCTGCTTTTACTGCCTACTATAGGTATGACAAATTGATAAATCTACCTATTGGCTGAGTTATGGCACAACTACCATGGCCATCAAGCTGTAAAGTGAGACTTGAACCCAAGAGTTTCTGACTGAGAGAGGGATGCTACTACTTCAGAAGGCCACCCCAATCCAGCAGCACAAAACTGCAGCAATCCACAATTTCTGAGAATCCAGAAAACCTATGTGCAATCACTGCATGTGCCAGCATTTGAAGTTTCTTTAACACTGTACAGGTTATCCTCAAAAGTAACAAGCCCACAGAGACTCCAAAAGAGGCCAGTGACTTAGGTCACTCTTGATGAGTCATTTGTTCTTTGTGTTGAGAAGTAAATTTTAGATGGTCAACAACTAATATCTTAAATTCGTCTTTGATAGTCTACACTGGCAAGTGGCAGATGGTTACTGGTCACCACGCCTCAGCCACAGTGTTCCCTGGGGGTCTGAACCTCAACATGCACCCTTTGACTTTCCCACATAAAATGGGCCATCCACTGCCTTGGTTACCTCTTGTCCCAGTGTGCTCTGTCCGCCTATTACCTCTTGCTGCACTGTGATATTTCTGTCATAATGACCACAAAGCCCCTGGTGTCAGGCAGTAAATTATCATTCAATTCTTTCATGTTCCTCATGGGTCAAGATATTAAATATTTGGAGACAATTCTTCAAATTATGTTGTTATCAATATCCTCAACTGACCTAAAACTTGAAAGGTGTATCTCCACAGATGTTTCAACCTGAGGTGTTAGGTCTGTCCTCTCAAGCAGAAGGTTCCATGATGTTACTTTGGGACAAGTTCTCTCAGCATCTGACATGATTTTATTAATGGGCACAGCAAGCTTAAGCAACTGAATGGCCTACTGGGTTAATAGCTAAACTGTATCCTCAGTAAATGTCATGCTGATGTCACATCACATTGGAACTGAGACCTGATACTGCAAGGCACTGGTGATGCTGGCTGGAGAATTGAGAACACAGAGGCACAGTCTCAGGCTAAGGAGATGATCATTTTGGACGAAGATGAGGAAAAAGTTCTTCACTGTGATCCAGAGAGCTGTAGATGCTCCACTCTTAATTATATATTTTAAGGCTGATACAGGCAAAATTTTAGTTTCTGTAGTTATCAACGGTTATGGAATGGGTGGGTATACAGGCAGACTTTTAGTTTGATGAGATGAGTCATGATGGTGTAGAAATGGCAGAGTTTACTCCTGCTCCTATCTTCATTTCATGAAAATGAAGATCAAATCATCCCCTAATTGTCAAAATTTCAGGAGGTTTGTGTAATCTTGTCTTGTAATTTTATCCTTGAAGTCCAAGTATTATTTGGTAAATCTACTCTGCATTCTCTCCAAGGCCAACATATCCTTCCTAAGATATAATATCCAGACCAGTTCACTGTACTCCAGGTGTGTCTATCCAGGGAAAGGGAAAGTTCTGTTCAGACCTTGATACAATCTTCATTGTCATCTAAAAGAAAAATATAAATCATTAAATGCCAGTGTTTGGCATGACTTCAAGGTATGGAGAGGAAACATTGGAATAAACAAGGTGGGAGAAGCCATTGCAAATGATGTCCTCCTGTTGACAAAATGCACCTTCCATGGTCCCAACATAGCAAACACCTACTTCCCACAGACAAATATTAAAAAAAACCATGGTGATATCTTAGATCAAAGCTTTGGTACCTCCTGGATTGTGTCAGTTTTTTCAGATCAAAGACCTATGGAAGGTCTGTGAAAGATGCCCTGCTGCGATTATCAACTTATCTAATCAGTAATGAACATCTTTCTAGCATCAAGACATTACAAGGTCCAAATGTCCAAGAGGAAGAAGATCAATGTCTCAGGCCTAAAGCAGCCTGACTGAAGAGGGAAACTCCCAAATGGAGGAAAATCTTCACAAATCCAACTCAAGTCAGTGGAGTCAGTTGAAGTCCAATGTATTAAACTCTTGAGTGTAGCCCATACCGTAACCACCAGGACTGGATCAATATAAACAATGCTGAAATGTGACAAAAATGTGCAGCCCTCATTGCCTCACAGAATAACCCAAGAAATCAGCATCCCAATGTAGGCTGACTCCCAAAGACAAATCTGACAAAGATAAAGGATGTGGCGAGAACAGAAAGCCCAAGTGGACCAACAATATTATGTTCATCATGGTATATGAAGTTTTTTTGTGTCACCAAAGGCATTAAGCTCAAATGAATAGAGTCCCTTTTGCATCCAGTATGATGTTTCTCTTCAAGACGACAAAGCCATCCCACATACTCTGGAAAAAGAAATTTGAATAACAACTCTGCCATGAATCCTGGTGATACATAATTCACTGTGCTATTCCTAGTACCCTGTGTAGAATTCATGATCATGATCAACTGCCATCAGTGGGAAAGCTGCAACAAGCAATCAATTTGAAAAAAAATCCAACAAAGCCCGCAGACTTGAATGTATCCTAGTTGAAATCTTTAAAGCAGGAGGATTTTTGTTCACATCAAGACTCCTTGTACTCATTCTATGGATTTAGGATGTCCATGAAACCTAATCACAAATATGCAATTACTTCATGATGACATCTTGCAAGTGTCTTGAGTGGGAAAACTGATAGAGACACCATCAAATCCAGATCAGGGTCATGTAAGGCTGTTTGATTGTCTCCATATACTCAAAATATACCCAACAGTGGCTATTCACCTCAGCAAAGAACTACTGCCCTCTGGTGTCTGTATTAATGATGGTGTAGATGGAAATGTTCAGTCATCTCTGTACCAAAACTGACCACCATAAAGATATTTTATACATAATTTGAGGAAGACTGGTATTGTCTACTTTTGCCAGATCTACAAGCCAGTTTCAATCTCATCAATTTTACAGTCCAGAAAATTGGCCTGTCTTTGAAGGTTGCTATCACAAATGTGTATATCAACACATATCTGGTCCCACCTCCCATATATGTCAAAAGGAGACACTCTGGAATATGTTGACCACTTTCCATTCATTGGCAAATATCTCTCCCAAAAGGCCACCATTGATGAGATCCAAAACTGGATCGGCTACACTAGCTCTGGCAGTGAACGATTGATATCAAAAACTGCCACAAAATCAACAAAAGTCCTAGTGTGCAGCCTAGTTATTGCTACATTCCTATACTACAGAGAGACATAGACAATGTATGAGCAGTACACAAGAGCACTGGAGATATTTAATCAGCATTGTCTCTGCCAAATCTTCAGGATTCAATTGAACAACAGTCATGTAAAGATTGTAAAGTATCCTTCTTGAGGCCAGTTCCACAAGAATTGAGGCAAACCATTGCAAAATTATACTCCAGTGGAATGGACACTGTTGGGATAAAAGCTGACATCTCCTCCTCTGTCAAGTAGAGCTCCTACTCCCTGTAAATGTAAATAAATTCTCTGAGACATTAAATTATTTTTTAAATACCACCCACTCTGTTGATTTATCATGAACACATTTGTCTAGTGTACAGTGGACAGTGTGTCTAATCCACTTAAAGTTAGCTATATCTAGATCTAGAATCTTAGTTGTTTTCTATTTCTTCCTATTCAACACTACATTGAATTTATTAGATAAATATCCACACGCTAACTAAATCTGGCTTAGCCCTCATTATTAAATCCAGTATGGTCTGACCACTTGTTGGCTCTTGCGCATATTGCTGCAGAAAGATATCCCAGTTCACTGCCTTTCTAAGATGTAAAAAGTAAAATCTATTTTTCTTTATTATATAGTTATTTAATCCCTGCATTGATGCATTCTACCACTTCACAGGTGGTAACGAGGAACCCACACAATGCCCGCCAGTGTTAAATCCTTTCCTATTCATGTAATTTTTATTCTTCACATGACAATATTGCTGTTGCCCATCTCTAATTGCCTTTGCCATTGTGGCTAATTCTAGCCATAAAAAAATCTCAATTGCCTGATTATCTCTTTGAATATCCAGTACAATTAATGAAGTCATTTCATCCTTAATCACCAGGCTACATTGCTCTCTTTACTATTTTCTCTTTTCTTTTCCTATAGATTTTATAAGGTATGGTATGTGTCTATTTGCGAGTATGGGTATGTTACCATTTGAGAGTGTTATATATGTGCACAGAAATGAAATATTTAGAATACTGAAGCCATCATTTTTGGTCCATGATCCAAACTCCTCTCCCTTGCCACTGATTCAATTTCTTTCTCACTGAGCTGTCATCATACCTGCTGATTCAAAACATATAAGATATACAGCACTCTGTGATTGGTTGGGATACATGGAAGTTGCACGTTAATGCTGTGACTGTTTAAGAGCCATACAAAACTCAACAGGAAAACAAATTGCTTTGTGACCCAGTGAGGACAATTTTGATAAAATTCACCCCTTGCATATAGACACGCATACACACTTCACATACACATGCTCACAGACATATGAATTTACAATTAAATATACACGCATACATGTACAAAATCACACACTCGCAAATATACTCGGTTACATCAGTGCGCATGTGCGTGCACATACACACCATTCACACACTATCTCCCACAGGCTTACACACACTTGCATTAATAGACTCCCACATATTCAGACTGACTTAAAGACTTGAAATATACTCATACTTATACACACAAAGTCACACTTAGACATACATACACAAAAACATAGAGACACAAAAGCACATGCATATGTTCTAACTCAGACACACACATACTGATGATTACACTAACACAATCATACCCACAGACATGCATACATTATAACAAGATTTGTCTGTAAATGCGTATAGGAAAGTTACAAAATAATTGCAACAGATTTTTGAGAAATGTTTCCCACAACTAGCTTCTCTCTATTTTCTTTCCACTGGGCTTACTGTGTTTGCTTTTCCAAATTGTGATCATGATGTAAACCCCTCTGGGGGCTAAGAAGTGGTGGAATCTGGACAACAAACTATCTGGTGGAATAAGCAGACAGCCATGTCATCCCCAGAGAGAGAGATTGAAGCAATGATGGATGTGCCTGTGTATATTATTACCAAATTGAAGAGAAGTTGGACTGTGCAGAGGACAAGAGTGAAGATCAAGGCCATCAATTTTGTAACCCATCCCCAGTCTTGGCAAGAATGTACACGTACATATCATCCATCTTTGTTGAATTCCAGTGTATCCTTAAACATTTGCTTATTCTTAGATTCCATATTATTCCTTTTTAAAAGGAATTTTCTCCCCTAGTAATTTTTTCCCAATTTGTAAATGGTGTTATGATCACAGCTGATAATAATACTTGTCAAGTCAGGTCCCAGAGTGAAATCTGGCTTGATAGATCATATGTTGAAATTTTACAGTTGGTTACCATTGTGGTCAGTCACTGAACATAGTCACACAAGGCTTCCAATGTTCTTTTCATACAAGAACGCAAGGTTATTACGTATAATGAAACAAAAACAAACAAAATTATACGCAAGTCAGTTTAGAAAAATCTTAAATAGCAAAACAAACTTTCAACTTGTTTACTGGATATATCTCTGACAGATGGTCAGTCCCAGAGAAATATCAATCCTATATCAACTCTTTAATTTCTTTCTTGGACTACTGAGACACTATCATTACTTCTTTCCAGTCGTGGTGGAATGAACCTCCTTTCTTGCAAACTAAAACCCGTCTGGGGTGAAAATTGTTCCCCTGAACCAAACTCCTCTGAATGGAAATCAAAACTAGTTGACAAAACTGTTTTCAGTCTGCCATAAACTTGGCTGTATAACCATTCAATCCACAGGTATATTGCTTAGCCCTTGACAGAATCATATGCTTTCTTGAAAATGACATAATTAGGTCACTGTTCCAAGTGACTTTATGGCCTTTTAAAACAAAATTAGTCTCTCAAAACTGAAACCAAAATCTGCCTCTATTTTAAAACCTAAATTCCAAAACTGATGATAATACTTCATACATCTTTATTAATAATGGTCTATACTGTACCTCAGCAGAGACTTAAACTGCCCTGTGAGAAATGTTTCAGAAATTCTCTTCCATTCCATGGAGATACCAGTTTTCTGCTTAGCGTCTTTCTGTTGTGATGTATCCAGAGATCAGAGATTCCTTGGCAAAAGGGATAATTGCTCTGGATCATCACTGTTCCCACTTCAACACAGTGGATCATTTCTACTTTATTTCTTTTCTTTTATAGTTTTTAATCAATCTTACACTGCATCTTATGGCTCAGTTCACAGGAAGGGTAAGCCCTGGATCCCTCAGACAGGGAATGGAGACGCTATCCCCTATTTGCATGTCTCACAACCAGCCACTAAATGGTTTGACGCAGCAGCCCAGGTTGACTGGCAGTGGGTTTCCCAGGAAGCACTACTTGGTACCACTCTCTCACTATTGTAATAAGACAGCTGAGTTTGGAACCGATCATTAGTGGAATCACAGGAGTCCAATGCAATCCCTTTCTTTTGTTTGTGGCTAATGAAGGTGGGACTATCCTAGCAACAAAAATAAATACACCCAAGGTAGAATAAAATACCCTTTAATGTTAGTTGAGGGATAGATTTTGACAAGGACATCAAAGAAGAATTCCACTGCTCTTTTGAAAGTAACATCCATAATATCTTTTACAACGGCCTAAGAAAACAAATGTGGCTCCAGTTTAATGTCTCAAGCAAAAGACAGCACCACACTGGAGTATCACCATAGACTCTGTGTTGAAGTCTCAGGAATAGGATTTGAACTACAACCTCATAATGCAGAGGTGAGTGCAACCAACTGAGCTACAGCTGGCAACTTGGTTGCTAATTATTTAAACTAAGAAAAATGCCTAGTTCCATTAAGCATAGCCCACCTGTTCTGCCATTCAGTTAGACTGTGGCTTATCCACTCAAATCCGCTTAACCTGTGGATCAGTAATAATAGTTGTATCATAATGAAATTTGTGTAAATTGACAAATTAGTGAGTTAGAAGTTGCACATGTATCTCACACTGAAAGAAATGTAACATCTACATACCATGTCCTTCATTAGCATCCTAAAGAACTCCATTGCAATGAGACAACTATTTTCTAATTCAGACAATGCTTTGCAGGTGAATATAATAACTGATTTTGCCAGATTAATGCAAATAAAAATGTAAATGACAATAATCCAAAATCAAGGCTGAAAAATCTGGAACTGGAAACACCTCTGTCTACAGATTAACATTTGAGGTAAGTTCTGATCAGGGTGGGGAGAAAGTTTCCTTCACAATTGTGCTGATCCAGACCAAATCCTTCAAACCAGGCAACTGAGTAGATGAGAATCCATTGCTTTAACTTTAGCACCAATGACAGCATGTTTGTTAGTACCGTTTCTGTCTCTGTTGATCTCCTACTATCACTATAGATTCTGTCACTGATAGACATTTGCATGTCATAATCCTGTGCCCCTTGACTCATAACCGGTCTCTGTTGTATGTGCAACTTGCCTTTAAGAGCATTTCTCTTCAAAGGACTTCATCTGCTATGTGCATACACTGACCCTTTGTCAGTTAGTCTGCTATGGGTCTGCAAGCTGCACACACTCAAATAAATGAGTTGTTTTGCTGTAATGTCTACTTTGTAACTTTTTTTATAGTTTTATATAAACTAACCTACTGAATTAAATAATCCTTGATGAGGAAGTGATTATGAGACCATTATCATTAACATGACATGGTAAACAGCAGTAGAATATATTTTGCTACTGAGGGCTATCATGCTTGAACTGTCAGCAAGTTAATCTACAGTTAGCCAACAGTTTTAAAACGTGCTAAAGTACATGAGACAACCCTTGATGATGTCTTTGTTCATTACCGTGTTGAAAACTCAGTTTGCTGGTTAACAGACAAATGCTTATTGATAGGCCAGTGTATCTCACTTGAAAAAGACAGTAATGGATGTGTGTACAGGATCAATAGCAAACAAGGGAAGGTCGAAGGCATATTCTCAGAACATCCACAAAATTCCCTATTTTGAGTTGGCATACTACAGACTTCTTAACAGACTTTAACAGCATTCAGAATCTTGCACTGATTTGGTTGTGTTTATTGAAGAAAACTGAGCCATTAGGATTTGCTTTGCAAGTGGGAATAAAGGTCTACAACAGACCCAAAACATCAGAATTAACAGTTGAAGAGCTAAATGGACTGCATTAGAAAACTAATTCAGAGTCGGATTAAACTTCTGTATTAATTGAGTAAAATTCACACCTCTTGAACAGAAGTCGACAGAATCCATCAACCACTTTGTGAGTAGATACAGAAAAAATGGCTTATTGTGATTTTTCAGATCGAGACCTAGCAAACAGAATTGAATTCGTGATCGCATCCACTTGAATGAAGCTTTCCATCAAGTTTTGCTGGAAACTGTAGACTTATAGCAAAGAGTTATTAAAAGTCAGGTGTACAAAGTGATCCTTGCAGGTCAAC